GGGGATGGCCATGCCGCAATTCCTTCTCCTCCATTCTCCTCTTGGGATCTTGGGCATACACACACACGTGCCCAGCATGAGTTTTAAGCCACCGGGTCCGGGACTCGAACCGCGTTTGACTACATGGGAGTCCAGCAACATAGCCATTACGCTAACTGCTGATCCCAATGTAACATAATTTTTACAAATCTAAATTGCATATGGAACAAGTATGGTTGTATCAAAATGGGAGATATTTTCATAACTTAGACCATTTGTTCACTTGTAAATATCCTGGGACTTTTCTGAAATCATTATTAGTAAGGTAAAAGAAACTCAAGATTGAGAAAATTAAATAAATAAATAACAAAACTCTTACTTGGACCTCATTTCCTTAAGCAAGTTCTGTCCCCTGGCCAACGCGTCCTTCAGTGCGTCTTTCATGGTTTCTTTCCGAAGGCTGAAGATGAAGGGGTTCAGCAAGGGAGTGAGGATGCTGGAGAGGATGAAGAGGGTCTTGTTGAGATGCAGGCTGCTCTTCTGGGAGGGGCGCACGTACATGAAGATGGAGATCCCGAAGTCCATGAAGACCATGGTGAAGTGCGAGGCACAGGTGGCAAAGGCCTTGCAGCGACCTTGGCCCCAGAAGATCTTCAGGATGGTGGAGACGATGTAGACATAGGAGACCACCATGAGCGAGAGGGAGCTGAGCAGCAGGACCAGGGAGCTGAGGAAGTCCAGGAGCTCGATGGCGCGGACGTCGGCACAGGCCAAGTGCAGGAGGGGGCCGCTGTCACAGAAGCGGTCGATGACGTTGGGGCCGCAGTAGGGCCTGCCTTCAGGACCGTGGACGGGAGGATGAGGAGAAAGCCACCTGCCCAGGAGAGGACCACAAGAGGGACGCAGAGAGAGCTGGTCATGATGGCGGGGTACTGGAGCAGGCTGCAGATGGCCACGTAGCGGTCGTAGGACACGACGGCAAAGAGGACGAACTCGGGGCACCCAGACAGGAAGTAGAAATAAGACTGGGTGGAGCACACACACACTCACCCAGTGAGTCCCTGTTCCTCCCTGGCAGGAAGCCCCCAGCAGCGTCGGGGCAGTAGGTTGTGGTCAGCATCTCGCTGAAGGAGAGGATCAGGATGATGATGAGGGCGTTTCCAAGAACTGTCACCAAATAGGCCACCAAGAAGACCCAGAAGAGCAGGCCACCGAGGGCTCTGGTGGCCGGGATCCCCACAAGGATACACTCCGTCACCATGGTCCAGTTCCCTCTTTCCATGTTTTCTCTCTCTTTTTCCTGTTAAAAGTTCTGAAAGAAATAACATGATTCACTCATTAGATTATGACATTTAGAAGAGATTATGTTAGTCATTCATTTGTTTCTAGTAAAATCGAGAAATGTGATTAATGTTATGGTTGAGTGTAATATTTTCTACAAAAATCCAGTTTAGGATATATGAAAATTAACTTTTCTTTTCTTGGTCTTTTTTTTACATACCATTTTGTACTTTTTGAGGGGTATAAGAACACCACTAGACATATTTTATAGGTCTAAAAATGTATTTTCAAAGTGTGTCAGGTGTTTCAAAAAACATACAAATAAAATATGCACTTAGCATTTGTATATGTAGTAGCAGTGTGAAGTCTGCCTGGCAGGAATGAGACTGCCTGGAATTCTGAGAGCACAGAAGGAAGGGACAGCCACTTCCTCACAGTCATCTGGCCATGGGCACAGAGAGAGTTCCACCTTCCCCTGCCTCTGCCAGTGCCAGAGAGCCAGAAGTTAATCCACCCTCCTCCACCCACTTAAAACTCAAGTCCCTATGGATTTAAATACACCCTTCCTTTTTGATCTTTTGCCTTTTCTTTGTATTATGTTGAAGTTCACAGGTTAATCTCATCCTGAAAGTTGTAATCAATGTAAAAGAATTATGTAAATGAAGTATAAATGTTTCCAAAAATTTTCACATTTTAAAAATTATTTTATAAAAGTGTTCTTGATGCAAACAAGTGAATGATAAGAAGGTCATGTCAGCAGATAAAGCTAGGAGGCCTGGCTGCACAAGGGCCGCATGTGTCTAGGTGCCACTCTTGGCCCACCTGCAGGCTGGACTCAGGGTTGTGCACCAGTGGTCCCAGTGGCCTGGAAGTCACACTGGGACACAGGAGGCTCTGTCTGAAAAAGAAAAAAAAAATATAAACTCTGGAACAACGTGGTGTAAGAGATCACATTGCATTTATGACAGGCAATTTTTAGAAATATGAGCAGCGGGACCAGCAGATGGTGTAGTGGTTACATAGCTGAAGTCCCCTGTGGTGGACTATGGTTCAAATCCCAGATCCAGGGGCTTAAAACTCACACGGGGCATGTGTGCATGCATGCCCAAAATCCCAAGAGGAGAATGGAAGAGAAAAGATTGCAGTGTGGCTATGTATGTGTGTATGTATGTATATTATATATACATACAGATAGATAGATAGATATAGGTATATATACATTTTAAGTTTTTTGCAGGTATATATACATTTTAAGCTTTTTGCCATAGGGTGCATGAATTCTTTGGGAGCAACACAGTGAGAGGGAAAGTGTGAAATCATCCCGGGCCATCCTGCAAACCCTTTGCCTCCATTCTCCTCTCAGGATTTTGGGCACCCATGCACACATGCCCAGTGAGATTTGTTAAGTGGCCAGGTCTGGGACTCAAACCTTAGTTGGCTATATGAGAGTCCAGTGCCTTAACCACTATGCCACCTGCTGACCCCTTAAATATAATTTTATAAAAACTATCTATCCATTTATTTATAGATTATTTATTTATTTATTTATTTATGTCAAAGAGAGTGTATGCACTTGCTGGAGAGAGAGGGAAACTAAGAAAGCACCACCCCCAGAGGGACGATCATACTACAATCACCTCTCCCTTTCTCCTGTCAGGATTTTGGGCACACATGCCTGCCGTATTTTTCAGGTCACTAGATTCAGAACTCACAGTCAACCATCGCCTTAGCCACCACACCATCACTGGCCCAAAATAAAATTTTATGATTCTAGTTAGTGTATACTTTAAATAGAAAAATGAATATTTTACTCTATTAGGAGGAGCCTACCTAGTGAGCCAGGACAAATGTTCAATGTAATTGTATTTTCTTTTAAAAGACAATGATGACTGGCAGGTGGCATGATATTTAGGGCACTAGACTCCCACCTGGCAGACTGAGGTTCGGTTCCTGGACCTGGCAGCTTGTTTTCTCACTTTTCCTTTCTTTCCATGGTCAAATTTGATAATAATAATATGGTATATAATAACAAATAATTCTATTAATAAAGACAATGATGACAAAAATTTTATTTTATTATTGCCATTTTGCTTAGAGATCATTTATTTATTCAGAATATTGGTTTTATGTTACTATATACCATTGATATAATTAAATAGCATTAAATAATTAGCTTTACTTATTCACTTCACTAACCTCTTTCTAGATACATTATGTTTCACTATTTACTTTTCCAGCTTTATTAATTTATAATTGACTTATAAAAATTATAAATATTCAAAGCATACAATGTGATGACTTTATATACCTGTATTTTCTGAAATGGTTTTCATAGTCAAATTTTAACATGTAAAGCGTGCCTACTCTTGTTACTTCTACTTAACATGGTTCTGGAGGTTCTGGCCAGAGCAATCAGACAAGAACAAAAGTATACAAATAAAAGGCCTCTAAGCTGTAAAGGAAGAAGGTAAATGACCTATTTGTATCTGTTTGATCTGTTTGATATATTAAAAGCTCTAAAAACCCACAAAAAGTCTGTTGCAACTAATTTAAAAAACATAACATTTTCAGTATACAGAGTCAACATACAAAAATCATTTGCATTTCTTTTTTATTTTACTTTTAATTGGCCAGAAACCATGTGTGTTCACCAGAGAGGGACAGAGAGAGAGAGAGAGAGAGAAAGTGAGAAAACATCCTCCTTCAATGGCAGACGGTCATGCCACAATTCCCTCTCCTCCTTTCAGAAGTTTGGGCCCATGCACATGTGTCCAGTGGATTTTTCAAACCTCTGGATCTGGGACTGGAATGGGGCAGATGGCTATGTAGGATCCAGCTGCCTTCACTACCATACCCTGGCTGGTCCCATTTGCATTCCTGTATACTAACAATATACTGCACAAAGAAGAAATTAAAAACACAAGTCCATTAGCATCAAAAAGAATAAAGTAATGGGAACCAGCAGTTAGCGAGCATAATGGCTATGTCGCTGGACTCCCACATAGTCGACCACGGTTCACTTCCCGGACCCGGTGGTTTAAACTCACGCCGGGCACATGCGTGTGCGTGCCCAAGATCCTGAGAGGAGAATGGAGGAGAAGGGATTACGG